GCTGCTTATCTTTACCTGATTGTTTAAATCTAGACAATTTGAATGCTTTTAGTATTTTGCCCAATGTGCAGCAGAAACCGAGAAGAAAGCAGTCTGTCTGTAACGTCATCCTGTAATTCCTCTTCCCTTTGGTGTAGAAATGGACTAATCTCGGTCGTCTCTCTGCAGTGTAGAATGATGGGCAGAGATCGATTTCAGAAATCTGGCCATTTTAAGCTGTAGGAGCACATAAAAGTGTCCCAAACCATTTCCTTGCATCCCATATTGTAAATGTCAAAAGTGCTTCTGAGCTCTCGCTTCAGGTCATTAGTGAACTTTTGTGAGACTGGTTTCCCATGGGGCAGGTTTTTATGGCTGAGCTACGGGCTGTTGAGATGATGGAACGCTTCAAGTGCTGGAGCCGCTCAGAGGACGGCTGGGAGGGGAAAACGTGCTGTCTGCTCGATATGTCCCTGCTCTGAACACACGAGGCTTTGAGAGTGACTGTCCCTCATCTTCTTTGTGTGATTTTATCAGCTGCGATGCAGCAGAGAGCCTGTCCTGTCAGAGCTGCTTTAGGAGGTGTCAGAGAGGTGCCTGTGCATCCATTGCCTCTCGGTGTGTTTACAAGATTGTCTCTGCTGTCATAAGGATGTTTTTTAAATAAACAACTTGTTTTCCACAGCAGAAGGCGGTGTTTAAAATGTGCCTCCTGACCCCCTGCCCACCACAGCGCCAGACCCCAGGGTGCTCCAGGTGTCAGTGTGGGTGTTAGTGATCCTCTTCTCAGCAGATACTAAAATGTTTTTTTCTTTAGGAAATGGTGGATCAACGCTTCACGTCCTTCAGTGCTTGGAAGATCTGTACGGTGACAAATGGACTTCCTTTACCGTGCTGCTCATTCATTCCGGTAATTTCTGTTTTCCATTTCACACTCTGAAGTTGCACTCCCTTTTCTTTCTAAAAATTACGTGGTGGCAGAGATGGAGTCAACGCTCTGAAATGCAGCTCCCTTAGAAAAGCAACCCCAAATGTGTATATTCCTTTGTGTATATGAAAAATAAATAGCTGTGCAGGGTTAGTTTTTGCTTACATTGATTCTGTGTCATTAAAAATGTCTTTTTCTTCAAGGTGGCTACAGTCAGCGGTTACCAAATGCGAGTGCCCTGGGAAAGATTTTCACAGCTTTGCCTTTTGGGGATCCCATTTACCAGATGCTGGAGCTGAAGCTCGCCATGTACATCGACTTCCCCAGCCACATGGAGCCGGGAGTTCTCGTTACGTGCTCGGATGACATAGAGCTTTACAGCACTGGGGTGACAGAAGCCGTCAGGTTCAATAAACCTGGATTCACTGCATTGGCTCACCCTTCGGACTTGGCAGTTGGGACCACTCACGGAGTGTTTGTTTTAGATCCATCCAGTTTTTCGGGGAAAGGAGAGCTTGAATACGCGTCCTGCCATCGTTTCCTGCACAAGCCTGACGTTGAGACGATGCGCCGGTGCGGCGCGGTGTGCGTGAGAGGGAACTGTGCTCAGACGAGTTCCTCCGAACCGGACCGGGAGTGCGTGTACACAGACAGCGTGTTTTACATGGATCACGGCACCGCAGCACGACTGCTGGCGTTTTATAAGCAGGTGGGCGCTCTTTGCTGTGAAATAGACGCGTACGGTGACTTCCTCCAGGCCCTGGGACCTGGCGCCACGCTAGATTACACCCAGAAGACGAGTAACGCCCCAAAAGAGGGGTGGCGGCTGGTGGAAGTGCGGCAGAAGCTGCACGCCCTGCTGAGCGGAACCGCACTCCACGTGGTCCTCTTGAACAACTCCGAGTTCTACCACATCGGCACTACCCAGGAGTACTTGTTTCATTTGACGTCTGACAGCAAGCTGAAATTTGAGCTGGACTTGCTGTCGGTGGCTTTTAGCATCTTCTCTGACGGGGCCGGGAGCTGGGATCGGTCGGCCAGCGTCATGCAGAGTGTGCTGGAGCCGGGGTGTTCCGTGGGACCTGGGTCCATCATCGAATACTCCCGAGTGGGGCCCGAGGTCTCGGTGGGGAAGAACAGCATTATCAGTGGGGCGCACATCGATTTTAAAGTAGACGTACCTTCGGGCTGTTTTCTGAGTTCACTAAGTGTAAAAACGAACGATCAAGTACAGTATGTCAGTATGATGTTTGGTGTAGAAGACGACTTGAAAAAGAGTGTGAAGTCATTGTCAGATGTGCCTTCACTCCGGTTCTTTGGAGTCAGCTTGCCAGAATGCTTGGACCTCTGGGGCGTGAAGGTTTCAGACCAGCTCTTCTCCGGTGAGAATGTCTGTCTGGGGCTGTGGACCGCCAGGATTTTCCCTCTTTGTTCTACTTTAAGTGAATCAGTTAGAATGTCACTAAAAATGTTAAATTCTGTGCAGCGCATGTCGCCTCTTCAACTGAATGGCTTTAAGCTCTTGTCTGTTGAAGAAATGCTGGCATGTAAAGATGTAGAAGACATGTTGAAGTTTAGGAAGCAAATTTATGATGAAATCCTTCTACGAAGACCCAAAGAGAAGTCTGACCTGGGGAAGGAACAGTACTTGAACAAATTTCCCATTTCCAGTTGTGGGTGATTGATTACTTGCAGAAATCACAAGAAAAAAGCACCCAGACCTTTTCTCTGATTTCACTGGAGCAGAAATAATGAAATTGCATTAACGATGTTGTTGTAGCGTAGCATTAATAATGCAGCAAGTGCAGATAAACTGTTCTTTTGATGAAAGAAGTAAGGAAATATTTCAGATCTCTGAAAACGCTAATTGGTGGGTTTCCTTGGGGTGCAGATTATTATGTTTTCTAGTGTTTGTCAGTAAGAATATGATACAGAACAAATTAATGAGAAATTTGACTGAAAACTGCTTTAAAAGTTTTTCAAAGTAGAACATTAGCTCCAGCACCACGGAATGATATAGCAATAACTTATATTTCTCTCTTTTCATGCTGCCTTTTTACAGTAGTGTTTCAAGTAGCTAGAGATAAATTTATTAAAAGTACTTTTTTAAATCAAGACATCCTGTCTGAAGCATTAATAATTTTATCTATTTTTTTTCATTTTGTACTTTTTTTAATACTTTCTTGTTGTTCATCAGGGGAAAAAGATTTCCATGAGAGATCGTCATTGGGAAATAGTAGTTTAACAATGGAAACGGCAGCAGGTTTGAGCACGTTAAGGTCCAAGAGAAATGCATAAAGTCACAAAGTAAAAAACCAGTCACAGAACAGGGAGCATGAAATTGTGTTTGTGTGTCGTACAGACATTTGCATGATCTGTTCATCTATTGTTAGAGCATTCTGAACGTTTTGGGAAAAACAAATGTTTGACATAGACTCTGCATCTTCAATCGGAGACCAAACTTTGTTCTGAAAAGACTTCCCTGATGGCTGCTGTCCTGCGAGACAGGCTTTCTGGATGTCCAGTGACGGTTAAATGAAGTTGTGTTCTTTCAACGTGATCGTTCACTTTAACTGTTACAGCTGCATTTATTCTGAATTCCCTAAGCACCGTGTATTGGTTTCATCACTGAAAGCAATCTGGATAGAAACAGAAAATGGATTTGCCTCCAACACATAAGTAATGGGAAAAAGGAATGAGGAAACGGGTACTGCCTAAGCGGCTTTTGGGAAGCGTTGAGGTAGGCTTGGTCAAATAGCAGCTGCTATGGCCTTGGAAGCAGAGTTCCTTCCAAGGAGAGAAAAAAAAAAAAACCCAACGGGAGTAGAATCCTGGTCTTAGCCTTAGACTGCCGCGCCTGGCACCGGGGTGAGGAGCTGCCTCGGGCTCTGTCAGTGCCCCGAGCGCACAAGGGAAGGCAAGAGATCCTTCTTACAGTATTTCTTTCTCAGATTTTCTTTCCGGGTGTGCTGCTGTCCTGCCTTGGACTGCTCGGAGGTGCTGCCCAGCCAGGATGATGGGTGCGAAGCGGCTGCTCACAGCCCTGCAGAAGGCATCGCCCTCGGGATGTGCGGTCCATCGCTGCATCCTCGCTCACAGCCCTGCAGAAGGCATCGCCCTCAGGATGTGCGGTCCATCGCTGCATCCTCGCTCACAGCCCTGCAGAAGGCATCACCCTCAGGATGTGCGGTCCATCGCTGCATCCTCACTCACAGCCCTGCGGAAGGCATCGCCCTCAGGATGTGCGGTCCATCGCTGTATCCTCGCTCACAGCCACCCCGAAGGCACAGCTCACGGGCGGCTGCTGCAGAGCTCGGCCGAGTCACTCCCACGGGGTCAGTGACACTTTCCCCGTGCTGGGTCCCGCTGTCAGGGACCTGACTGAGGACAGCATCTGTGAGGGTTTGCTGGAGGCGTTCTTTGGCCGCAGCCCGGAGAGCGTGGCCATGCTGCAGGCGGTGCACAGGGAGCTGGGTGTGGGCACACCTCAGAACCTGGCGTTTTGTCATCGTCCTCTTCTGCTGGGCGGTTTGTGGAGCGCAGCCCGTGAAGCCGTTGCTTAAACCAGCGGTGTCAGCGCTCAGACGCCCCAAATGCATGGTCAGACACTGCTGCATTTGTAGCCCTAAAATACGTGGCTGAGTGGAAAAGCTTGTGGCTGAACGCTTCAGCCAGCAGCTAGGAATATTTTCTTAACCTTTGGATAATGGCCTAAGATGCCATTTTTGTGAACCTGTGAAGCGTGTAGTGTCCAGTCTCGTTGAACTCTTTTCAGCAGCATGTCAATTAATTGCCTTGTTAGGAAATAAAACATTTAGATCTCGAGGCAAAGAACTTAATAAAAAAAAACTCTGTTGTAATGGAATAAGCATGGATTTTGTTTACTCAGTAAGAAACATGAGACTGCTTGAAGTCTTTATGCCACTCCACACTTTCCTTTCACAATAAATATCTTTGTCTCGAATTTTAGAAACCAGATTTTAGTCAGTATTAGCCAGGCAATGTCAGCAGGCTTAATGAACTTATTCCACAGGTATTGAAATATCTGAATTTCTAATATTTTTCATTTTTAAAGTACAGTCAAGTTTAATATAATATTTTATGAAAAACATTAAAAATTGTATTTTATTTAATACAGAGCTCTATTAGTTATTTTCCCATGTGCTTTTATATCATCGATGTTTATGTGTGTGCATGGTCACACACACATTCTGTGAATTCATTCTTGGACTCCACACTTAGGAATGAACCCTTTTATGTAGAAACTTCCACTGATTTCCGTTGAGCCCCAGGAAGCGTGTGTTTGCCCATCAAATTTCTAATGCAGCCATAATCCCCTGTGCTCTGTCTCACTGTCAATAACATTATCATTGTGAAAGACAAGATTAGAAGGTTTATCGAAGTATTCAGGGACAATGGACCGTGCCATAGAGAAAGTTGGTGTGTGAAGATGGATAATGGTATTAGCGATCCAGGCATCCGTCTGCCGAGGGCTGCTGGAGTTTAGAAATTAAAATACACATCTATTGTGCTTTGATGAGTTTCACTGGAAGGATCTGTAGACGTGAGGCATATTTTTCCTGCAGGCTTTTTGGTGAGTTGTGAATGCTGAAATGTAGCTTCACCCTGCCAAGCTACAGGAAGCAGCTAGTTTTGTTATTTTCCTCTGTCAGCTTCAGAGTAAAATCTGAAAACCTCAAATCAATGCCCTGTTTGATCGAAGCCACCAGGAGTTTCGCTTCTGATTTAAGCAGGGGCCAGGATTTTTCCCCTGGCAAGCGCATTGATGGAGCGCAGGTTCCTAGAGTCTACCAGGGATGAGAATCGCTGGAGTGAGGAAGAAGAAGAGCTGCAGAGCATCCCGACAGCGCGTGCTGCAGCCCTGCACACAGCCGCCAAACCCTCGCTGTGCAGCGCGGGGAGTTCTGCTGGGTGCTGGGGGAGCCGGGGTTCTGCGGGCGAAGCGAGCGCCGGAGGTGCCAAGCACAGGAGCAGCTGCGAGGAGAACAGCGAGTCTGCAGGGGATGCCATGGCGTTTGTGAGCTCACACAGTGTTTCTGTCTGAAAGAGAGAGGAGATGACAGATGTGAGTATTTGTGTGTACCCTTGATGACACGTTTGAAAAATCCCATCTTTGTTCAGGCATGATCTCCTCTCCAGTGTGGGCATTGCAGCTCTTCATGAGCGGGCATGTTTTAGCTGTGACAAATTCTGGTTGTTCTAATTCTCATCTTGTAGTGAGATCAAACCTTATTGCAGTCAGGAGGGCTTCGGACTGGACACTCCCTGATGATAGCGGTGCAAGTTTGATGTACGCAATATGTGCATGTATTCTGTTCTTATGGCATTTTACACCCTTTGGCCAATCTCCCTTTTTCACAATCTGCTCTTAAAGTAGGTGACGACAATTTTTCTTATGCAACCAGTTGGGATAAAGTTGTCCCAAGGAAACCGAGAGACCTGGGCAAGGCCACGCAGCGGAATTTAACAGCAAGAGAATAGAAATTGTGGGGTTGCTGGTTTCTAGTGCCAGATGCTGGAAACAAGACCATCGTGTGGCATCCATCCTGGCCCGTGATTCTCCTCCAGTCTGAGTTATAAAGGACACAACGCTGAAGTGACAGTTAGGCGGGATCTTCTGAGAGCAGGAGGCATCTGCTGACTTGCGGAGCTGGGTTTTGCTCAAGGCTCGCTGAGTTTCCCAGGTGGGTGTAGGTTTTGTGCCAGCCTTGAGGTCATTGCCTGGCTCCATCTGTCCTGAAGTGCCACTCAGGCTGGCACAGCCTCCAGTAAAACTAAGATGAGCGTTTAATGATTTTATTCATGTCAGCTTTCTTTATTTAATTAGTTTTGCTGTGTAGTGCAATAATAGGGCTCATAATGAGCCTCGTCGCAATGATTTCCCGGAATGCTTTGAAGGTGCGCTGTAATGAACAGAGATTTACCCGTACTGTGTGTATTACCCCAGGAAATCCGAGAGGAGGATGATTTCAGCAACCTTTTAGGCAGGAAATTGGAATCTGAGAAATTGGGCACTTAACAAAGAACACAAGGGAAGGCCACTGAAATAGAAATGAGCAGCTGAGAGGTACCTGTGCCAGGAGGATGCAGGGAGCTGACGGAGGAAGGTGAGCTCCAGCAAACGTGGATCGGTGTAGAGATGTTCTCGACTTGGACAGGGAGTTTGTCTGTGCTGGAGCTCAGCCGTTCCAGACTCTCCTCGTTCCAAAAGCTCTGATGCAGCAGCTTTATTTTCTCCTCCCTGCACATGGAGGAGGTTAATCCCTGTGCAAATGCCACTGCAGTGTTGTGAGGACAAAAATAGCAGCGCTGTTCTCCTGCACGCTTCCTTTCATCCGCTGCCGTGGAGCAGCCGCTGCGAACACCCGATCCGCTGTATGGGCTGCAGAGCTCCTGGTGCTCTGGTCTCATAGAAATGCACTGTCTTTGGACGGCCTCTTCGTGTTCGGTGACAGATCCGACTGTCACCAGAATGACATCAAAGTGTAGAGGAGCAACTTACAGCCCCCCAAAGTAAACCACAGGTACGGGTATGTTCTAATTAGGTTGAAATAAAGATAATTTCAAAAGACCTAGTCCTGTAGAGGCTCCAGGTGAAGGACATTTAAAACCAGAAATGGGAAAACAATGGTAAGGCTGGACGTGACAGCTGCATGTCCCAAACATCAAACTGCAATAAAACTAAAAAATTAATCAAAGAAATTCTGTAAACGTTCTGTCGGTATTCTGTAAACATCACATCTGAAGAGTTTACTCGCTGAAAAATGTTGCTCTTGACATTTTAGTGCTGCTGGTACAGAGGTTAATGAGAACTGGCCTAACACCACAGTCAGTGCAGTTAACCCTTTCTTCTCTGCAAACAGGCTCTTTAATTTTTGTCTTTTTTTTTCCCCCCTTAGTTTCAATTATTCTGCAACTGCTTCACTGTGGTGAGTCCCTCAGTACAACCGGGGCACTGTCGGCTCTGCTGTGGTACCTGGCTCTCCCTCCGGCATGGCTGAGCAGGCAGCGATGGTACCAACCTGAGCTGGTAGCATAGGTACCAACCTGAGCCGGCAGTGATGGTACCAACCTGAGCCGGTAGCATAGGTACCAACCTGAGCCAGCAGCGATGGTGCCAGCCTGAGCCGGTAGCGATGGTACCAACCTGAGCCAGCAGCGATGGTACCAACCTGAGCCGGTAGCGATGGTACCAGCCTGAGCCGGCAGTGATGGTACCAACCTGAGCCAGCAGCGATGGTGCCAGCCTGAGCCGGCAGTGGTGGTGCCAGCCTGAGCTACATCCTGGGGATGAGCCCGGTGAGCACAGAGAAGCA